CAAAAACCATCGATACTATCGATAGTGTCATCGATAGTTTTCCAGCTCTATTGTCTTGTATCAAATTTCCTTAAGGCAGTACGCAGAAATTTGCTACGCTTTCTACTACGGTTTTCTAAAGTTTTTAGTAAAAAAAGAGCAAAGGCAACCCATGCCTGCAACGGAAATATATGCCCGTTCCATTATTTCTGGAGAAAAGAATAAAGCAACAGGTTGTGAAATATCAGATGTCAAAATTCCTTGGACACACACACACACTAAACAATGGCAATTTTTTTCTTGGCCGTTTTCTTAAGAGCTGGATACTAAGCTATACAACGAATATACAGAAGTGCGAATTCCGTCAAAGTTTTTTTTGCTGAAAAGTATGTATAGCGAGAATTTACTCTTTCTTAATAAAAACTAAGTAAACTTTGTTCGCCATTTATTACTTATGTTACTTTTCCGAGATGGGACGGTATATCCAAATTGGGGTTGTTCTTACAAAAATACTTACCTCTTGATAGAGACGATAGCTCAAAGCTGGGGCCGAATCATGTCATCCGTGATCGAATGAAATTCGGTACGAAATTTCTTTTTTAGATTTTAGCATTCTAAAACGAGTTCACTTGTTCCATTTAAATTGCATTAGAGAGAAAACAGCTGCCATTTAATTTCATTCGATTCGAATGGAGTTTTATTCGTTCACGAATGCCGTGATTCGGGCTCTGATTTCTAAAATCTTCGCTTAAATACTCAAACTAAACTTTAAGTTTCATTTTTAACGGTGCGAATTTTATTTAGTCCACAAATTACCATAAGCCTCTTTATACATACCTAAACTACATTATTCAACTTTCTTTCTATCTAAATAATTTTACATAATTAAGGTACACGAGTAGAGGAACCATATAAGTTATGTCAATAGAGTTTTAAATGATAGAGAAAATATAGTTTTTATTAAAACAAAGAAAAGTATGAAATCTTAGTAGATGATTGTATTACAAAACTCTTCAGCCAATTTCGAAACCATATTCTATGTACTTTTTCCATTTTATGCATTTTTTAAAACTCGTTTAGGTGTAGAAACAAAGATAAGTGGTTCCTCTTCAAAAACATTCGGAAAGTTTTATTGATTTCGTCGTCACGGCAAACAATTGATAATAAGTTAGATGAGAGTAAAGCCTGGTCGGTTACAGAATAAGCGTTGCGATGATGCTGCAGACGTAGAAAACTGGACTGTTGTGATTTTACTCTGCCGTGATTTTACTCCGTGGAACTGTTATTTAAAGGAACTGATCGCCTTGAAAAATCAATCTTCTTGATATCTACGCTACTATTCAGACGATAAAATAGTATTAGCAGAAGGAGCTGGGGACGTTTTGTATATACATACATACTACATAAATCAGTTCAAGGCAAGCGATGGAAGATTGTAGGAAGAGTATGAAGTAAAAAACAAAAAAAAAACACAATTTTGTGCATAAATCGAAATTAGTTTAACTTATTTTGCCATTTCACGAGAGAGCCCCATTAAAAAATATTTTTACATAAAAATTTTAATAAAAAGTGTAACCGTATAAATGCAGAGGGTTAAGAAATATTCATAAATACGAAGGAAATATTTTAGACGCGGAAGAGTCTTACATATACTGATCCCTACAATATGTATTATGTAGTTTTTCTGATTGAAAAAGAGTAGCCAGTTGTTGAAACTGTATGTATACAGGCCCGCCGAGAGTAACGTGGGTTAGGGGGTTATTTAGCCCTGGCCCCGTTGAATATCAGGGGACTTGGCAACGATTTTTTAAAAGGTATAAAAACGGTACATGGAATTGTTTGAACGTATTTTATTGGCATTCGGCGTCAATGAATTACACTGTAGGGACGCTAAAACGACACACAAAAAACCGAGACACGTAAATTTAATTTTGGGTCGTAGATTGCGGATCTGTATACCGTTTTTCTAAAGCAGGTCATTTTCCCAAGATATTTTATTTTTAGATTTGCATTGCGAATGAAAAAAAAAAAATTTTACTTTAACATGGAAAATGTTACTCATACGCCATGCAGATGTATGCACAAGTACGCCTATTTACGATGTGGCGTATGAGTAACATTATTTCCGGGCCTTATTTCATACAAAAATTTGTAGCACATTGTCATTTAACCATTCAAAACTTGTTTAAATATTTTTAATCCATCGATTTCCCTCGCTAGTAGGTTGATTTTTTGGCAAAATAACAGGCTTTAATACAAATTTAAAACAATTAAAAAAGATTTCTTTTTGACAAATCAGTGCCAAAGTGTTGGCTCATTAAATACGTTCCGAGAAAGCGGCCTAAACCATAAAACACAGTTTTGGCGAGTTACCTTAAAAATTATTGGATTCTAATTCTGAGGCTCAGTTCAAGCAAGCATTCTTTAGAACTGCCTGTTTGCAAACATGACCAGATCAGTGTTGCTTTCAAGAAACTTGAATCAACATTCATATTTTTTAATATCTGGAGTTAAACGAAGAAACCCTGCAAAATCCAGCAGCATCCTTCTATAAGATTTTTTTTTAACTATATACGATATTTCATTCTACACATTTACGGGCCTATAATTTATCATAAATATAGAACCAAAGAAGAAAATAAAGGACATGTCAAAAAACTGCCTAAAGGTATGCTACATTTTTTTTTTAATCAAGTGCTAACCACACACTTGGTAAGTACACGTGCTAATCACATATCTTTAGAAATTATGAAAGCAAATCTGAAAGCACTTGAGATATGTGAAGTCAATTTGATCGAAATAAAGTAATTTATGCTGTAATGTGAATATGGTTTAAAGAGACTACTTCATTTAAAATCGATTTAATATCCGTATGCTGAAAATTTTTGAAATACGAAAACTCCAATATTTCAATAACTAAATAT